CCTAGGTAACTTAGGAGGTGAGGCAAGGGACTTGCACTTCTAATAGGGAGAAAGACATGCTCACCCAAGCACTCGGAACCAAGGAGCACCCTGGTCGCACTAGAGGAACCGGTGTTGTTTCTTGGAAACTAGCATTCCCCCAAGAATCTAACACTTACCGGAGCCGCTCGAGGGGTAGAGCGGATCAGGAGGCAGAGTATTTGAGGCGACTAAAAGAGATGGAAGAAAGAATGGACGCACGGATTGAGGCGACTGTTGAAGTACGAGTCCAGCAAATTTTGTTGTCCAAGAGGACAGGAGTACCACAAAACCCTACTCCTACTGCCTTTAGCCCACAGTTTAGGGGTCGCAGCAGCTGCGGATCGACCCCACTCGACGAAGAAGATGCGAATGTGCCTCATCCGGTGGACGGCATCACTGAATCCATCAATGTCAAGTTGTACATCTGTCAGGAATGGACAAAGGACAAGCTGGCGCTCGGCCAGGCCTGGCCTGCGGGAGACGGGGCTATTAATGGCCGCCCAATTCCACAGGGGTACGCTTGTGTCACCATTGACAGAATACTTGATAAGAAGTATAACAAGATACACATTGAGTACCCCGTAGCGGAAGACAGGCCGAAACTTGGTCATAACAAGGTCTCTCAAGTGGCCTGGCGCAAACGCTTCATTAAGCTTGACCAACAATTGTTCTCTGATGATGAGGACGATTGCGAGTCTTTGCCCACCTACGATGATCACTCACCATCTCCCAATAGAGATCACTCCCCTCCTCATCCCTTGCCATCACCCCTAAGAAGACAGAGGTCTCCTATTCCTCCTCGTCCGACTTCATCTTCATCAGCCCCGAGAAAAGAGACTCCTCTGCCATCTTCATCAACCCCGGGAAAACAGAATTCTCGTCGTCATCCTCCTCCTCCTCCTCCACCTCAGCCCAAAACAAGATCAAGGACATCCTCGCAGTCGTAGAAAAGGTCCTTGGATTTGGTCGCTAATGCTCCCAAAGTGGACCAACAAAAAAGAAAAAGGTCGTTCAGTGACAGCGTTACAAACTTGATAGAAGAAAAATTTACAACACATCTTGAAGGAAGATTGTATTAGTTTCTTCAATCTCTGTGCCTCACTGTCTCTGTTTTTGTTGAAGTCCGAATTCGAAAGGTAAACACAGAATCAGTACGCTACAACAAGAGCCAATGAAATATACAATGAAGATTTAAGGAAGATACAAAAGTTCATCGAAGACAAACCTGAATTAACCATGGAAGAGGCCGCGACCATATATTATGATGTACAAGGGATGGCAACACCGACAATGAAGTATGAAAGGAGCAATCTTTTGGTTCCCAATCACGAGTATAAAAATTTGACAACATATATACGCAGTTGCATGAATATTACATAGCTCAAACAACAGAGACGGAGGACTTTGATTTTGAGGTTATTATCCGTTCGCCACATGTTTTTAATTATCCAGAAGAAAAGAAATTCGATGTCGAGTAGGAGTGCTTGTTCCAGCTATACCAGAAACGCTCTCTCGATACACAAATATTGACGTTGTGGACTATGTAAGTACCCTACACGCACGATATTACAATTAACTACTCTCTCGGAATACAAATTGTTAATTTTTGAGCACTTCCCATGATTTTATGTAGGTGTATAGCAAAATTTTACATTCTAAAAAGCAAATGGGATAACATAGGCTTCTTGGACCCCTTGCGAGTCAATGAGAAGACATGTCTAGACCTCCATGGATGTGACGTGGAAGACCAAAAACAGAGATTGATTGCTGTTTTCGACGAATTTAAGATAAAGAACAAAACCCATATACTTCTAGCCTACAAGTGCGAGTATGTGTTCTCGACTTTTAATTTTATACTTCTTTTTTCGTTAAGATTATTTGATAATTAGGATTCTGTGATTGCAGCCACAATTTCGTCTTTATTTGTGTTAATCTTGCCAAAAATCTGATCGAGGTGTGGGACTCGAAGAAGAAACCATTTCATCATCTGGATGCACTGGTGGTAGTGCTGAATTAGTAAACGATCCTAATAACATATTATTTTCTAATCACACATACTGCTTTCTAATATTTCTCCTTTTAATGTTGCTCAGTGTCTGAAGAAGACATATCGGTGGCACGCAGGTCCCATTCAAGGTTGTTGAAATGGAGGGGAAGTACCTAAAACAGCCGGTGGAAAACAATGAATGCGTGTTTTATGTAATGTGGGCAATGCTTCGCTACATCGGCGGAAAATCAGATGAAGCCGATAAGTTGGTGTGTATAATTCCCATTTCATTTATGTCTGTTAATCATTCAACAAAATGATTTACTGATTCCTCTTTGGATATTATCTTTTTTGAACAACAGCGCAAGAAATATAACCACGAAAGGCTGTTAGACATGGAGATCGTCGCGCTGCAATCGAAGCTGGCAAAATTCATCTTAGCCGAGGTATTGGAAAAAGATGGAGTATTTTCCATTGCACAATAGGTGAAGTTCAAGGGCCAGTATGGCTCAGAGCAGCTCGCCAGATTATTGTAAGAAGTCCGAGAAGCATTTGCACAATCTGTGAAGTCCGAGGACATTTCTTTTTTATTTTGATGGATCGAGATCTTGATAAGAACATTTGTAATGTTTAATATTGATGGACCTGTCGTCTAAGTAGCGTATATAAAGCGAAACCTGATTCCACGAAAAAATATAAATTAAAATAAATTATAAAACAATAAAATACGAACGTGACATCACTGTCGGTCAGCAGAAAACCGACAGTGTTGTTGTAAACATCACTACCAGTTAACAACAAACCGGCAGTGATGGCACTGCCGGCTAGAGCCACAAACCGGCAGCGTTGTCTTAGCCATCACTGCCGGTTCTTGCCATAAACCGATATTGATGTTTACGACAACACTGCTGGTTCAAACACAAACCGACAGTGTTGGTGGAAATGAACTCTACCGGGTGGTCTTATGAACCGGCAGTGTTGGTGGAACTGAACTCTGCTGGCTGTGTAAAGAACCGGCAGTGAAGTTGAAGAACATTGCCGGTTTGTAAGAACCGACAGTGATAGCTTACCCTCATCACTGTCGGTATGGTTGTGCCGGTTCAAAATCCGACAGTGACAGAGTATTTTGAACCGGAGTATTTTGAACCAGTGAAGTGCAATTCTGACATGCCGCGGTCTATGGGGCCGGATCGATTCACGCCGTAATACGTTATGGGCTGGACATCCCAAACAGAAACTAATGTTACCCATTTACACTGTGAACGGGTCACGGGGTGAAAACGTCGAAACAAACGGCTCCTAGGCTACAGACATGCCGCTGCGTGTTTGCAAATTAACAAACTGACACTTGGTATCGAACAAACGCTGGTTGACTTCTCAAGGAAAAAAGTGGCCGGCGATGGGGCGCAAAATTAAAGGAGAGGCGGATGATCACAATTACATAAGCCAAATTTGACCGAGTAATTAAATAATGATGATGCAGGGCTAATTGGGTCAAGACAAAACTGAGTTCTATTACGTACATGTACTGAGCTACTTCATGATCATGCAAGCACTAACTATATACTGTGCAGTGATTAATCTTTCATAAACATAACTATATGTTTTAGAAGACCACCAAGCTAGTAGTCTCACATGAATATACTACTCCATATTATGTGGTATGCGGTTTATCCCTGTCATAGGCATTGCCTGTAGTTTCCTTATCTTTTAATCAAGTTGTAGTATTATTTGAATTATACCATCGTCTCTTTCCATACTTGAATTTGTACTGGATTTTTTATTTTTCTTATATATCTTTTAATAGATCCTGACTATGACATTCAAAAACTAGATCAATAATATGGTAACACTTGCGAGTAAAAACTTTTTAACTTTACTTACAGCAATACACTGACTTTTAATAGATCCAGACTATTACTTTTTATTGCTGGACATTGCAATGACCTACCTCAATGAGCTACGTTTCTCTGGACATTGAAATGACCTGCCTCAACAAACATTATTATATACCCAATTACAGATTCGATCTCTCCACTCAACCTAAAGATTAACTGTACTAGCCCCCTTTTTAAATATTTTTTGTGAGAAATATCAATCAATTCGAATAAATTCTTATGGTTCTTGAGTATAATATGGTCCTATAACTTATGAGAGTATACCGTATTTGCAATGATTCTTTCAGAAACCCACGAAAAAAACAATAGGTCATGACTCGTTCGTCCACTACGGTTTCAAAAATGACAGGGAAAGGTATTTTTGTAGAATAGCAAAAGATAAGCTAGCCAAGACATACGATGGGCTAGTTCTTCTCCAGAAAAGAACAAGTCAGTCTGACCTGTAGCCTGCCGGCGTGGCGCTGCGTGTTTGCCAATTAACAAACTGACACTAGGCTGGGTATCCAACAAACGCTAGTTGACTTCTCAAGGAACAAAGTGGCCGGCGATGTGGCGCAAAAAAATACACTAGGCTCGGTATCCAACAAATGCTAGTTGACTTCTCAAGGAACAAAGTGGCCGGCGATGTGGCGCAAAAAATTAGAGGAGGGGCGCACTACCAGAAACAGTCGCTTTGCCATATGCCACGGCAAAGTCTAAAAAACACTCGGCAAATGATTTGTCGAATGTAACATTTGGTAAAGAACATACGGCATCTATAGTGCCGGCAAACGGTTCTTTGCCGAGTGTTTTCTATCGGGCATGCGGCAAAGACTTTGCCGAGAGCTGAAACCGATGCTCGGCAAAAAAAAGTAACGTGACGGAGTAGAGACGGTCCTGGCAATGTAGACTTCTCAAGGAACAAAGTGGCCGGCGATGTGGCGCAAAAAATTAAAGGAGAGGCGAATAATGGTCACAATTACACAAGCCAAATTTGACCGAGTAATTACAGGGTTATTTTATTTGTCCTTGAAAATGTTATTCATCTTAATTACAGATGGAATATATACAAGGAACGGGCCGGATGCCAACATATGTGTGTGAATGAAAATGGTTTATCCATCAATCGATGCAACAGCTGGAGGAATACAAGGAATGGGATGCAGAAATAGCTTAGCCTTCCTTGTGACAGTAACACCCCAGAGCTCCGTCATGTCAATCTCCTCCGGTTTAGCTCCATCTGGCAGCTTCCAGTCAAAATGGTACAGGAGGCTAGCCAGAGCAATCTCAACGTTCATATGAGCGAAACTTGTCCCAGGGCACATCCTCCGCCCAGCCCCGAAAGGAGTGAACTCAAAATCGAACCCCCTGTAGTCGAAACAGCGGTGGTCAGGGTCACCCTGCTGAAATCTCTCTGGTATAAACATGTCTGGGTCCTCCCAGTACTTAGGGTCCCTGGAAATAGCCCAAACGTTCGCGACGACTATTGTCCCCTGCGGCACATGGTACCCTTGGATCTTGATGCGATCATCCAAGCATACCCTTGGGACGAACGGGGCAGGAGGGTGCAGTCGTAAGGTCTCTTTGATCACTGCTTTCAGGTAGTGTAGGTCCCTTAGAGCCGCCTCATGTACTCGTTGTTGCCCTGCCATGACGCGTCGAATCTCTAGCTGCGCCTTGTGCATCACCCTTGGGTTTGCGATGAGTTCGGCCATAGCCCACCGGAGGGTAGTCGTTGATGTGTCAAGTGCTGCACCAACCGCATCCTGACCAACAACGAACGCATATGTATGCGTAAGTATATGTATATAAGATTATTGTAAAATTCGTTTCAAGTATAGGAATAAGCTAATAAGAGAGCTTATGGAGTACTTACTATCAGCACCGCCCTGATGACTCCATGGTTGAGAGAAACACGCATGTCGCCCTCCTTCTGGATCCTGAGCAGCACGTCGATCATGCTGTCCTGCTCGACGCCGCCTCCGCCCCCGTCTTGGCCGCTATCCGTAGTCCTCTCTGGCTGTGGCTCTCAAGGATGTCGTCCATGAGCCGGAACATCTCCTGGCGGTGCCGCTCCGCCTTTCGGCTCCGCGGCAGCATCCGCACGAGCCGCGACGACGGGAACAGGTCGCGGAGGTCGAACAGCGACGACGGGTCCTGGCCTGCCTTGATCATCCTCAGGAACGCGGCGCGGTTGGGCAGCCGGTCGCCCAAGATGGCGCGCACGGAGGAGTCGGCGATGAACACCTCCAGCAGCTCGTCCATGTCGACGGGCGGCTGTCCTCCCGCTCCCGGAGGCAGGGACGACGACGACAGCGAACGAGACCAGGCGAGCCGCCTCGTCCTCGCGGATGCGCCGGAACGCCTCCACGCGCCGCGCGCTGAGCAGCTCCGTCATGAGGATCCGGCGCAGCAGGCGCCAGTGGTCGCCGTAGGGCGCGAAGATGACTCCCTGCCCGTGCCTCGACAGCTCCTCGATGCCCGGGCTGCTCGGCCGCTCCGAGAAGGCGGCGTCGTGGCCTTTCAGCATCTCCCCCACGGCCTCAGCGGAGGAGACCACGATGGCCGTGCGCTCGCAGATCCTTAGCAGCACCAGCGGGCCGTGACGCAGGGACAGGTCGCGGATGGTGTGGTGCGGGAGCCCCTGCACCAGGTGGTGGAGGCTGCCGATCACCGGCAACTGCCATGGGCCCGGAGGCAGGCGAGCTGGTTTCCTGCCGCTGCCGCTGAGGACGACACGGGCGACGACGACTGCAAGCAGGAGGCAGGAGCCGTACAAGCACAAGTATGGGTATGGCAGGCCAACAAAGTATTCTTCCATCGTCGGTGTTAGTTGCAATGCAACGATATATAATGTGCATATATGCACACTGCCTGTATCATATACGGAGTACATATTTATAGCCAAGACATCCAGAGGGAGCAGTTTTGTATTAGACGTACAAGAACCTAGATATATTAGTTTTGATTAAAAACCAGGCAACAGGATCGGATAATTGATCTCAAGTGATCATCATCCCTGGCTAGCTGCTGGCTGGCTGGCTGCAGATGCTGGTTACTTTCCTTGGAAATGTCTAGTCAACAACCAGTTGTTTTAGTCCCTCCCATCAACTAAATTTTTCTCATACACTTACACTATCTTATAGCTATATTTACACTGCCTTATTATTATATTTACAATGATTTCTTCCGTGTAATTTATTTAAAAGAGTGATGTAATTTGGGAATAACACAAATATATGCCAATTTTTTCAAAAAGATTTACAAATTATTTCTATGAATTCCAGACATCAGAGAAATATATATCAAATTCTTCAGAAATTAAAAAAAACAAAATCCACACAAGGAGGTGAGAGAGGAGAGATTGTCGCAGGGTGTTCCGTGCTCGCGTTCGTGTGTCAGGCAGGAACACAGGCACCGGCATGATTGCTTGCTTGACGCTGAAGTCGAGCGGACGCACACATAGGGATGCATCGCACGCACGATCCAGCATGATCGCAGGCGGGGGGGAGGCCGACGCTTCCACATGGCATGGCCTTAAAAAACAGTTGATAACAACCGGCAAATCAACTGGTTGATCATTAGCTTTTTTGCTTTCCTTGCGTATACAGTAGCTTCGTTTCTTGTCTCTTCCGTGCACACCGTATTTCCAGTAAACAAAATGCATACTTGATGCCCAGTGGTTAAGGCTCCGAGGGAGGAGCAACCGGCCGGGGATCTACCCCGTTCCGCACCAGGCGTGGCGGAGTGTGACACAAAAGCAATGGGATACCTTACCACTAAAGAAGAGTTCGATCCAACGCTTTATTTCTGTCTTAGTGAATCCTGATTGGGGGGGGGCGGGTTTGCTTGCTCGGCTCAAGGACAGCTCGTTAGAGTGTTGTGTGCGTCGTGCTGATAGCTTAGCATCTTACGTTGTAATGAGCAGGACCAATTTAGTTATACATTTAGTTATCCCTCCGTCCCTGAAAGAATAAATTTCTAACAAGTTTAGGATAGATTAGCAAACAAGAAAAAAGACCTTACTACTCGTTAAGCTTCTTAACTTTAACTGCATTCACCACTTATCGACAAGTTAGAGCAATAAGTTTTGGTGTTTCTAATAATATAATAAATGTCATTGTATGTACTATATCAACCATGTGCATGATGTCAGCAGAAATAAATGAGTACGTTGATCGCTGGAAACTTCGAGGAAATAAATAGGTGTGATGGTGGTGAGAGCCTAGAAGTTGATTTATTCGTGGACAAATTTTCAGCCCAAAAATCTACTTTCTCTGTCCTTGAATAAATAGATTTCTAGAGTTGTCTTAAGTTAAACTTTTCAACTTTGACCGAATTTCTAGAAAAAAAATTACGATTTATGGTGTCAAATTGGTATCATTAGATTTATCATAGAATATATTTTTATAAGCTGCTCATTTTATGTCATAAATATTGTTACTCTATTCTATAAAGTTAGCCACATTTAAAAAAGTTTGACTGACACGGATTTTAGGAATTGATTTATTTGGGGACGAAGAGAGTATTCTTTTAGGAACGGAAGGAATAGCTAATTCTATGAGAGCCTAGAAGCTGATTTATTCATGAACAAATTTTCAGCCTAGAAATCTATGATGGAGGGAATAGCTAATTCTTCATGCTTCTCGAGCTCTAGCCTTCAAGGCATAGACGTACAAGGTACCTGTTCTTCTTCAACACGTCGTATACTCCTGTTCTTCTCCCATGTCTTACACCAGCGCTAGCTGCACGACACAACTAGTGAATAGAGCCTAATTGATTGGAGTACCGTAGCGGAGCCTTACACCAACAGCCATGGAGTACATGATGCAATTTTGGCAGGCGGATTAGAAACCATTTTTTCACAAATAGCTGGCTTCAGCAACTGCTTGGAGCAGTTCAGAATGCCATATGACCCACATCATATATACAAAGAACCTTACATGGTGTCCCCCCTGCAGATATATTATATTAGATTGGACAAGGAATCATGAACCGGGCGAGAACGCATCCCCGCAGTCGCAACCAGACAGAGCCATGTACAAACTAGAGTTTCTCACGACGTGACGGCCGAGCAGCAGGCTTAATTAATTACGTTATTCATTTAGAGTCAGTCCTAACCAAAATTTAATTTATTAAATCTACTAGGATTCTGACGTGAAGAAGACGAGATCAAGTGTGATGTAGGTGTGTTTGGATGCACGCCCATGTCTGGTTAGCCAAAAATTTCGGCCATTGACCGAGGACACCGAGAGCGTTTGGGTTATCACATAGCACTGTGTGTTTGCCCTTTGATGAGAATATGCTTTTCATCGGAGATAACTATTTACTAGACAGCGTTTGAGACGGCTTCCGAGCTCTGCTTCACAAACTCAATCGTAGAATAGCTCCACATAAAACCTAGAGTTTCTGGAGTTGTGGACCACCTTTTTAGGTGTTCTCACACACTACTACAGCAACAATTTTTTAGGGGCGGCTCGTAACCCTTTGTAGGGGCGGTTTGGCCAGCCGCCTCTATGACCGTCTCTACAAATCATGTATTTGTAGGGGCGGTTCCCAGACCGCCCCTATAAATTGATTTGTAGGGACGGTTGTAGTACCAGTCGCCTCTATAATACATGTTTGTAGGGGCAGTTCAATCTAGAACCGTCCCTATAGTACGTTTTCCCGTTAAAAAAATTAAATTTACAATTCAAATTCGACCAGAACACTGTTTGTTTCCGCATATTCCATCCAGCGTCCGCGTTGCCGAACGCCCAGCGTTTCCAACCGCGTTCGCGTTGCCGAACGCCCCGCGACCAGCGTTCTGAACCGGGTTCGCGTTGCCGAACGCCCCGCAACCAGCGTTCCGAACAAGAGTATTATATAAACTACAATTACAAGTCCAATTCACAAGAATATATACAATCCATCATTAAATATACAAATTCCATACACATTGTTATCAACGTCCTAGAGCTAGCTTTTCAGTCTCACGAAGGTGTTGGTACTGAGGATTTCTACCTAAGTCAGACTCTCGGTCATGGTAGGCGCCTTTGATGTGTACAATCTGGTCCAATATGAAGTTGCAAAGGTCGTCAATGAGCTCTAAGAGTTGGTCATCCTTGTATGGGTCACTTTTCATTCCTTTCTCTTCTTTCCACTACAAGAGAACAAGTTTCGGTTTAGTATTTCATACCATGTACGAAGTTTTTATACTACGGGTAAAGAGGTTCAAACTTACCCTTAAGGGGTGTCTCCTGTAGGCACCGGTGTTATTCATCATAGAACATATATAGTATCCACATTGTACACTCCCAGGCTTCTACTTGGGGCACTGTGTGTTTTGCATATGAAAATATTAAGTAATGCTTTTGATAGCCATGTAATGGAGTACTAAAGAAGTAAGTTACACTAATCGCACATAGTGTTTTTATAACCAGCTTTTCTTTCCTTGATGGATCATGCCTTCCTTTATGATTAGTGACATAGAACCTAAATGCCCTGTTCGAATTATTTTAGCAAATACAACTTGTTAGTATCCAAAAGTGAACGTTACAGGTATGTATACAAACATATAAGCTAATGAGGATTGTCGATATGTATATGTCTTGAGAATAGATATGAAGTCTTTGTATGTCACCGGGTCCCTATCTATTGAATCAAAGACCCATGCCATACTCGTCCCGACATCGACGGCTATACAAATCCAGTCGTTGCTGCATGGATTTAATCATAGAATTAGATAAGCTCTTTTGTATCGAATAAAATATATCGAACAAAGCTTTAAGTATAGAGTTGAACTTACTCAAAATTGTATGGTAGCCATATGGTAGAGTGTTGTTGGAGACTTTTGAAAGTCAGGGCAATGTATGCCGCAACCTTAAGGGACTCTTCCCTTAGTTTCGCCGTACGGATGTGCTCTTTCTCCCGAAGAGTTTTTGCAGCAACTAGCTCTTTGGCATCTAGTTTTCACTGTTTAGGGTAATTAAAATTTGTTTGGGCTATAGCTTGGGGGTCTAGATACCCGGCTTTCACACTTGGCATTTGTTTAACAATGTGCACTTGCATTCTACAAATCACGGCGTGGGTTAGTTACAACAAAATTCAAAGATTACATTCATATCATATCGTGAGGACAAGGACTTACAGACACCACATGCGAATTAGATTCATCTCCATTGCTCCTAGGTAAAAGCATGTCTGCATGTCATTGAAGTCAAAGACAATTTTCTTGGCTAGGCTTCCAAATGTGCCGGTGAGGAAGCATGCTTGTTTGAGGTCTATGCTCGTTGGGAGAACACGGAAGTACCAATCATGGAACCTTCTCATTCCAAGTGGTAGGCGCTGGATGTCCTGGTTTGGTAGGAAGGGCTTGCCTCTTTCATATGTTTTTGGACAATCCTTTGATCATTTGATGACATCAACATTTGGATACTGCTTTGTAATTTGGTGGAGTTTGCTAGTGACGGCCTCCTCAGAACCCCGTGATGGGACTTTTTTAACTTGGTTCTCAGGCTTGAACTGGTCATAGGAATACCACTAGGACATGGACGAGACGTCTTTCATCAGAACATAAACTGGCCTTATGGTGATTGGATGCTTCTTTCGAAGTTCCCATTCAGGCACGTCCTTATCTTCTTGTGCATCACCTTCTTCAAGAGGCACTCGTTGTTCATGTATCAGCTGTGCTTGTTGAGAAGACTGTGGCATCTCATCATGCACTTGCTCGGTACGAGCTGGAGAAGGTTGTGGCATCTCATCAGGCACATGCTCGCTAGGAGGCGGAGAAGAATGTGGCATCTCAGGAATGTGGTGGTCACGAGACAGTGAAAATATCTC